CTCGACCACAGGCCCAAATGTGTAAGGACCACTTAGAATCACCTTAGGTGGGAAATAGGGAAGAGTTAGGCACAGAGAGAGAAACGGGATGATGGAGTTTGTTATATAGGTAGGGAAGGGAGAAGAAAAGCATGTAGAGTTTATGTCAATTTGGGAGTCTAGAGTGTATACTTTGACTTGGGAAGAGAGGAAACCTTTTCTTCTCTGAAGAGCTATTGCTCTGGGTTTACAAGGTTTTATCTTGTAATACTTCTTACATTCTCAATCAATAATACAGTTGTCATTTTATCCTAAATCAGTTCCTATCAAAATCCCACCGAGTTTGCATCTCTTTCAACCAAGCCTGGCATGAAAGCTCTAAAAATCACTTTTTGAGTTTAAGCAAGCATGAAACCAATGGAATGCCAAACTGACATAAGCTCTCTGAGGCTTGTGGATATTCACAGTCCAAGGCAGATAGCTCAGATTCTTTTCTCGGATTGAAGGTGGCCTGATCAAGGAAGAAACTGTCTTATACCAGCTCAAGCATGCCTTGGACTTACTTTTAAGAGTCTAGTTTACCATTTAATACTCCCATGGACAGTTTTTAAGATTTCAACACGACTCTTGTTCTGCATTACACAATGTTGCTAGATGGTGAGGTTACTTTATTTCATTCACAAAACCTGTAGTATGCTTTTGTGTTGAGTCAATTTCTTGATTGTCCAACTAATACCCACCACTAGGCAGCATTGACAGTTCTTAAATACGTCAAATACATTTAGAGGGTCCAGGTTACTATTTTCTATTTGTATTTTTCAGTGTTACACCCAGGAAAAGCAAGAAGCCACTCACGGTCACCAAATCATCTCCAGAGTTAGGGTGATCGCACAAGCCATTTGTGAGGATCAGTGGTTACTATGCTCATTTCATGGCTTAGAGTTGAGTGACATTGTTCTTGTCTTTACTGAGATAATCAAGATGTTTTACACATTGCTGCAAATGTTGTATTTGTGAATGGACGAAACTTATAAGATTGGAGTGCCACACCACGAGAGAAAAGGTCCAAAATGGAACATTTCATTTGCTATTCCCACCCAATTTTTCTCTTATTTCACCTCCACGCTTGTTACTATATTTTTTCCCAAAAATATCCCAGAGGAAAACATGTTATATATATATATATATATATATATATGAGCAATAGAACTACTCATTCATTTTCATTATCATTTTTTAAAATCTAATAATTTTATATTAATGAATTAATTACATTTTATATCTATTATCTATTTATTTTATTCAATTATTCTCACTATGAATAAAGTTTAAATTCAATTTTTTTTTACAAATAAAATCAAGTAAAAATATTTCAGTCGTGTCAAAATTATTAACAAACAAATACTAATTTTTTAATTTACAATCAACGCATATTATAATTTATAGAAATAATAACATATTTTAAATTACGAAAGTTTCACATTGTTACATTTTTTAATTGAAGAATTTGAATAGACTTTTTTTAATAGAATGATTAAATTGAATAAATATAAATAAATGATAAAATTATCAAGATCATTAATTACATTTTAAAGAGACAACTGATGAAGATTAACACTTTAAAATTTAATTTTAGAGTGATTTAACATCTCCCTTTTACAAACAACATTGAGTGCTATGTAATTGTTTGTAAAGGGTTGCTTGGAAAATTATTAGAGCCTTCATCCATGATCTTGGTGATGAAGTTATGGAAGTTGATGATGCATAAGGTTTGTATATGATCGTGGAATAGAAAATTTTGAGTCAAACCACGTGATTTGAATTTATTAAAAATGTTAGAAGTTGTGATAGTTAAATTCCAATTCATACGTAATATGTTTGGTTCCTTTGTCAATGGTTTATTCTCCTAAGAAAAATTGAGATTGATCTCATTCATATGAAAGGATGAATAAAGTTTGAACTTTAAAGACCCCAAATACGATTTTAATTTTATGCATTTTTTAATATTTACTAATTACAGTTTTCGTTTATATGATATATATATTTCTTGATTTTATAAAAATTCAGAAAAAAGGACGAATTTTTTCTATACTGTATATGAGCCTCTATCAATTTTTTATTGATTAAAAATTATTTAAATGAAAAATAAAAAATCAATACAAAATTTAAGGTTTAGGGTTTATAAAAATCAAGAGTCACTCTATAAGAATAATCATAAGTGAGAAGGTACATAAGATTTTTAATTCTCAATTATTTTCTTTCTACTTCTCTAATTTGATTTATTTGAAAATTATCCTTGATATTTATTCTAAAAAAAATACAAAGCATGTACTATTTTAAGCCCAACTATTATTTATTCTAAAAAATGTTAATCTCAAATTTGATTCAAGTTAAGAATATTAAATTTCAACTAGATATTGATTCATTTGGATAAAAGTACTGTATAATTAATTTATTATATCTATGAATAATAGTTCATACATGAGAGTAATCAATATTTCGCATATATTTTAATGTCAACCCTAATTTTGGGTATTATTATTTTTGAACTATTAATTTTATATAGTTCCAACTTATTATTAAGAATAAAGATTAATTGAAAAAAAGGATTTTTTTTATAATTGTTCATATATTTAATAGTTGTATATTTATCTTATTCTTCGTGGATTAATTTTTTTGTAATAATTATCAGGAAGATTCATATTATATTGTTACAAATTTAAGTTTAAAGAATGAAAAAAAAAAGATAAATAAAAATCAAAAGAAACAACAATTAAAAATTTCTGAAATTTTACATTTAAAATGAACCAAATCACGAAATTTTAAAAACCTAAAAATGAAATATAAAAAAAAATGAAAGAATAAATTTAATATTTAAAACCATAACTACATCACATATAGTTCATGCTAGATTCCGTGTCAAAAATGAAATGGAGAAATAATGATCTGAGGATGTTTTTATGTATCTAGAAGTTGAATTATCTGTCACACACAATTAATTGTGCTGACCAATTTCATATTTTTTCAATCCACAAGTCAAAAAAAATATCAAGGTTTTTTATTCTTTTAGTTGCCAATGTTCCAAAAATGAAGGATTACAAATAACACACGTGAAATTTCAACTTTATTTTTAGGATTTATTTTCTTTTAAATTAAATTAAAAGTTAATTTTAGGCTGTAAGTTAAATAGAACACTTCAGAATTAAAATAGTTATTCATAAGTTTTTTATTGTTGTTTTTTTAATAAAATTTATTGATTGTGTTATAAGATAAATTTAAAAGGATAATTTTAATTAGTTTATGAATGTGTAGAAAATATGTAATTTTGTTTTGAGATTAATAACAAATTAGTTGTTAGATTTTATTATTTAATTTCAAATCGGTTATAAAAAAATATAATTTAATATTTATTTATATTCATTATCATAATATTTAAGATTAATTCTTATTTCTAAAATATAATCTATTTTAAAATTTTCATCTATCATAATTTTATCCTTTAAAAAAAAAATATATTAGAGATAAGAACCTTTAGTGTTTCTGAAACTAAATATCTTCCTAAATGCATTTGATTTTCAAACGTTGTCTTGTCTGACCCAGCACCTTTGTATTTAATATGAAAATTACGAATATTTTGCACTTCGTACTCCTAATTCTTGACTTCGCGTGACCCTGCATTTTACGTCTTATTATTAATTAATAATTAATATTTGAGTAATTTTACATAATATTTTATATTTTGTAATCCAACCATAAACTGATACCTATTTGATAAATAAATTTATGATTATCTGAAAAATTAAACCAACGATATTATTTTATAAATTGACCAAGCAATTTTTTTTAATCTTTTAGTCTGAAAAAAAATACTCTGTTTTCTAATAAGTGTATATGCACAGAAAATAAATCTATAAACATTTTTTCCAAGATATAAAGATAATACATAGTATATATATATATATATATATATATATATATATATATATATATATATATATATATATATATATATATATATATAGATTGATATTAAAAAAATAGAACCCTTAAGTATACATATTTATGTATAACATAAATATTAAAAAAATTGTCTCTTATCTTTTATTTTATTTTTCATTTTAAAATAGAAATACTCAGTCTCACAATCTTTTAAAATTATTGATTTTAGTTCAATAGATTAAATTAAGACATTGACTTTTATCATAATATTGTACTAATATTATTTATTTGTTTTAAGTTTATTATAATTATTTTAATATGGACTTTTACAATTACACATAGTCTTAACAAATGAATTATTTTAAAATTAAAAAAAATCAAAATTACAAATTAAAAAATAGAATCATCAAAATTGTAACTGAACCAACATAAAACTTTGAGTAGATGATTCCATCAAGTATGAAATGTCATCATCCTCTCATTCAACCATGGCAGAGATTGGAATTTTCCATTCAGATTTAGAATAATAATTTTCCTGCGTGTTGTGTTTGTTAGGTAGCTTTGTTTTTATTTCCTTGTATTTGAAGAATATTTGTTTTATAATTGTATTTTTTTTCTGCATGATTAAAAATATATATATTTTTAAGTTATAAAACCAAGGAATTACAGTAATTTATCGTAAAGGGGGTAATAATTCACTATGTATTATTTACAGATGATAACAGTGAGAAATTATAATCAATGTTTTTATAAATTTTGTTCTTTCTTTTCTGGTTTCAATTTTTAACTTCTTCTGGTGTTTTTAACGTTGGACTCTTCAACCGCCGCCTGTCATTTTCACGTGCATGGTATAAATAGAGCCATGTTTGTGAGGAAGAGAAACCCAAATACTCCTTCATTTTGTTGCATGCTATGCTCTTTCATTCTTTAGCATTCAGTTGCAAAAGAAAGAGTAGCGTGTTGGTTGGTGTAGCTATATAAGCTTAACCTACCTTCAAAGGAGAAGAAGAAGAAGAAGAAGAAGAAGAAGAAGAAGAAGAAGAAGAAGAAGAAGAAGAGGAAACTGGAAACAAACTAAAATAATGGACGGAGATATTTACAGAGCAAGTAACAGTTTACGTGCGAGAAGTTCAACAGCTTGGAGGAACAGTGGTGTGGAGGCATTTTCAAGGTCTTCTCGTGAAGAGGATGACGAAGAAGCTCTCAAATGGGCTGCTCTTGAGAAGCTCCCTACCTACAACCGTCTCAGGAAAGGCTTGCTGACAGCATCCCATGGAGTTGCCAACGAAATCGACGTCGCTGATCTTGGCTTCCAAGAGAGACAGAAACTTCTCGAGAGGTTGGTCAAGGTGGCTGAAGAGGACAATGAGAGGTTCTTGTTGAAGCTCAAGAAGCGTATTGACAGGTATATTACCTCTTCATCACAACCTCTTCATAACTAGTATTAGAAACTTCTCGAGTCTCAAGTTCTCTCTTGCTGCTTTTCACAGAGTTGGACTCGATATTCCAACAATTGAAGTTCGATATGAGCACCTCAAGATTGAGGCAGAGGCTTTTGTGGGAAGCAGAGCTTTGCCTTCTTTCATCAACTCTGTTACTAATGTCATAGAGGTAAGTTGTATAAGTTTGGTTTCTTTGTTTTTATTTTTTTGTTTTTGTTGGGTTTCACAATATTTTTAGTTTGAAAACATCTCACATATTTTATTCATGTCTACCACTTTTAAATTCAGTATAAATAGAATTGAGATGGATAACAATTATACTCGTTAATGCGAAAATAAATCAGAGTTAAAACTATTCATAAAAACTTATAATAATCAGAATTGCAAGAATGTTCTAATAAATTCTAATAATAGATACTGATTAATATTTTCAACGGTTGTTTTGCAATTAGTTCTCATCATATTTGGTCTTGCAGGGATTTTTTAACATGCTCCATATTATCCCAAGCAAAAAGAAACACGTTACCATTCTTAAAGATGTAAGTGGAATTGTCAAACCTCGCAGGATGACACTGCTTTTGGGTCCTCCAAGTTCAGGAAAGACCACACTTCTTTTGGCCTTGTCAGGAAAGCTTGATAAAAGTCTTAAGGTTAAACACATTTCTTTTCAGTATATACAGTGACGTTTTTTCTATAAAAATGGAAGGAGAAAGGAAAACTAATATGGATACAAATGTCTTGTTCAGGTATCTGGAAAAGTGACTTACAATGGGCATGAATTGAATGAGTTTGTACCCCAGAGAACTGCTGCTTACATCAGCCAGCATGATGTTCATATTGGAGAAATGACTGTGAGGGAAACCTTGGCTTTCTCTGCAAGGTGCCAAGGGGTTGGATCACGTTATGGTTAGTCCCATTTTACAACTCTCTAACCTTTTCAAAATCTGATTTAACATGTATGCAGTCTAACTTCGCATGACTGGTCATCATTTAACTTTTTGAATCCACAGAAATGCTATCTGAGTTGTCTAGAAGAGAGAAAGCTGCAAATATCAAGCCTGACCCAGATCTTGATGTGTACATGAAGGTCACAAAAGAAGCTCTCAATAATTTTCATTCCAGTAAAACAAGAAAACCAAAATGAAAATATATATAACATCTTTACATTGCATCTGATTATCTTTTGATATAACAGGCAACCGCAACTCCAGGCCAGGAGTCAAGCATAGTGACAGATTATACAATGAAGGTAATGATTAAACAGGGTTCAGTTCAATTATGTGATGACATGTGCTAGAGTTTGCTACGAAGGCCAAGATATTGAACTAGTTAAATGTATAACTTTGCAGATTCTGGGGTTGGATATTTGTGCTGACACTATGGTGGGGGATGAAATGTTGCGTGGGATCTCTGGAGGACAAAGGAAGCGTGTTACTACAGGAGAGATGTTGGTTGGACCAGCAAATGCTTTATTCATGGATGAAATCTCCACAGGGTTGGACAGTTCCACAACATTTCAGATTGTCAGCTCTCTCAGGCAATATGTCCACATTCTGAATGGAACAGCTGTCATATCTTTGCTCCAGCCAGCACCCGAGACTTACGACCTTTTCGACGACATTATCTTAATTTCTGATGGCCAAGTTGTTTACCATGGCCCTCGTGAATATGTTCTGGACTTCTTTGAATCCATGGGTTTCAGATGTCCCGAGAGGAAAGGTGTTGCTGACTTCCTTCAAGAAGTGACATCCAAGAAAGATCAAGCACAATACTGGGTGCGCAGAGATCAACCATACAGATTTGTGACAGTTGGTCAATTTGCTGAGGCATTTCAATCATTCCATATTGGTAGGAAACTTGGACAGGAGCTTGCAGTTCCATTTGACAGGACTAAGAGCCACCCTGCTGCATTAACCACCAAGCAGTATGGCATCAACAAGAAGGAGCTGTTAAAGGCTAACTTCTCAAGGGAGTATTTGCTTATGAAAAGGAATTCATTTGTTTACATCTTCAAGCTATGTCAGGTTGGTGATAGAATTCTACCTTTTTTTATGTCAAGAGTTCATTTACACATATATGATGATAAATTTTTACTTACCATTTTGCTCTTGAAAATTTTCAGCTTTCTGTCATGGCGTTAATTGCATTGACACTATTTTTCCGGACGGAGATGCACCGTGATAATATAGATGATGCGGGTGTTTATGCTGGTGCTATATTTTTCACACTAGTAATGATTATGTTCAATGGACTGGCTGAAATTTCTATGACCATTGCTAAGCTTCCTGTTTTCTACAAGCAACGGAATCTTCTATTTTTTCCCTCTTGGGCATATGCTATTCCTTCGTGGATTCTCAAGATTCCCGTTACCTTAGTGGAGGTTGGTCTTTGGGTATTCCTGACCTACTATGTTATTGGATTTGATCCAAATGTTGGGAGGTACAGAAACTTCTTTTATGAGTTTGGAGCATGTGAATATTGCTGCTTCTACTAGTTTACATGTTATTCATAATGTGAGTTTTGTGCAGGCTATTTAAGCAGTACCTAGTGTTAATTTTTGTTAGTCAGATGGCTTCTGGGTTATTCCGAGCTATTGCAGCACTGGGTAGAAACATGATTGTCGCCAACACATTTGGGTCATTTGCAGTTCTCACGCTTCTTGCATTGGGTGGTTTCATTTTGTCAAAAAGTAAGCTCAATTGACACAAACACGTAACTGAAAAATCGATGCGTTGCTATCATAATGGGAAAACCTAAGCTAATGTTTCTGCATTTCATTGCTAATGTAACAGGCGATATCAAAAGATGGTGGATTTGGGGTTTCTGGATTTCACCTTTGATGTATGGGCAGAATGCTTTGTTGGGCAATGAATTTCTTGGAAACAATTGGCACAACGTAATTTCTTGAACTCACAACTTTAGAGTGTGTATCTTCGGTTAAGAAATGTATGATTCTAATTCCTTTTCTCTCTAATTACAGGATAGCTACAATTTAGGAGTTGAATATCTTAACTCCCGCGCGTTCTTCACAGATTCAAATTGGTATTGGATAGGTTTTGGGGCACTGGTTGGATTTGTGCTCATTTTGAACGTGATGTTTGGCCTTGCTCTCGAATTCCTTGACCGTGAGTACTTTTCACAACATTTGTACTTTAAAATGAAAGGTTTTATTAAAAAGAATGCATAATGTGCAGCATTTGATAAGCCACAAGCAACAATAACTGAAGAAACGCCAGAAGAAACTACCCTTAACGAAGGAACCCTAGCAGAAGTTGAATTACCACGCAGAGGTTAGTTATTTATCGCTCACGAATCCTAAATGGCAATCATACAAGTTGATTAGAAACAATTCGTCTTATACCTCATGTCGCTGAACTATATTTCAAATGTCTTGCAGAAAGATCAGGAAGAAGTGGTTCTGTTGTGGAGTCAAGCCACGGAAAGAAAAAGGGAATGGTGCTTCCTTTTGAACCACATTCTATCACCTTTGATGAAATCGTATACTCTGTTGACATGCCACAGGTAAATCACATTCCAAGCTACAACTTTAGCATTTGGGTTTCTAAAAGTGTTTTTATTTTAACACTTCTTCATCCAGAAAAAAATTGGATTTCTAACTCCCTTGATTTCCACTGGCAGGAAATGAAGCAACAAGGTGTACAAGAGGACAAACTGGTGCTTTTGAAGGGTGTTAGTGGTGCATTCAGGCCCGGTGTTCTCACGGCTTTGATGGGTGTAAGTGGTGCTGGTAAAACTACTTTGATGGATGTTTTGGCTGGTAGGAAAACCGGTGGATATATTGAAGGAAGCATCAAAATTTCTGGGTACCCTAAGAAGCAAGCAACATTTGCTCGTGTCTCTGGATACTGTGAGCAAAACGATATCCACTCACCTCATGTTACAGTTTTCGAATCACTCCTATACTCGGCATGGCTCCGTTTACCTTCAAGTGTTGATTCCAAAACTAGAAAGGTTAGTTAGTTAGGACCAAGCACAGTAAAACATTTTAAGTCGTTCATTGTGATAGTTGGCTTCATAATCTTAGAGGCTGATTGTTCAAACCTTTTGGGTTGGGCAAATGATTGCAGATGTTCATTGAGGAAGTCATGGAACTGGTGGAGCTGAACCCATTAAGGAACTCGCTGGTTGGACTGCCCGGTGTGAGTGGTCTCTCTACTGAACAGAGAAAGAGGCTGACTATTGCGGTTGAATTGGTGGCTAACCCGTCCATAATTTTCATGGATGAGCCTACTTCTGGGTTGGATGCAAGAGCTGCTGCTATTGTCATGAGAACAGTCAGGAACACTGTCGACACTGGAAGAACTGTTGTGTGCACCATCCATCAGCCCAGCATCGACATATTTGAAGCATTTGATGAGGTGAGTGATGGCAATGATAAATGAAGCCGTGTCTTACTTGGTTTCTTTCCCCCACAAGCTTGAATCTAACAGGATGTCTTTTGTGTGATTCCAGCTATTCCTAATGAAGCGTGGTGGACAGGAAATATATGTCGGGCCACTGGGTCGTCATTCTAGTCATCTGATCAAGTATTTTGAGGTAAGATCATACTTTACTTCAATATTATATATTAAGTGAACTGCTATCATTCTTGACAATAAATACTAAATTCATCAAATAATGTCCAGAGCATTGATGGGGTGAGCAAAATCAAAGACGGATATAACCCGGCTACTTGGATGTTGGAGGTTACAACCACCGCACAAGAACTTAGTTTGGGTGTTGATTTTACTGACTTGTACAAGAACTCTGATTTATATAGGTAGGCCAATACATATGGAGATGAATTTACCAACTCTTTGTTGTTTTCTTGATTTTCAAAATGCTTAAAAGAGTTTTTAATGGCTTTTCAGGAGAAACAAGCAACTTATACAAGAACTGAGTCAGCCTGCTCCCGGTTCAAAGGATCTTCATTTCCCTACTCAATACTCTCAGTCATTCTTGGTCCAATGTCAAGCTTGCCTATGGAAACAACGTTGGTCATATTGGCGTAATCCACCATACACTTCTGTGAGGTTTTTCTTCACTACTTTCATAGCCATAATGTTTGGAACGATGTTCTGGGACCTCGGAGGCAAATAGTAAGTCAAATATTAGTGCAATTTGAAAATAAATTCTTACGACTCAACAAAAGAAAGAGGCATATTATGTACTGTCACAACTTCTAAATTCCACATGGGTTCTTATTCATTGTGGTTATTTTACAGCTCAACCCGAGGAGAACTGATGAACGCTATAGGCTCAATGTACACTGCTGTTCTCTTCCTTGGAGTACAAAATTCTTCCTCCGTACAGCCAGTGGTGGCAGTTGAAAGGACTGTCTTTTACAGAGAAAAGGCTGCCGGAATGTATTCTGCCTTACCCTATGCATTTGCACAGGTACCTAACATCACTATTCATTTAACGGACATGATTATACTTGACATTGTATACAATGATTATGCTAACAAACAAACAAACTGGGTACCTATTGTCACAGATGTTGGTAGAGCTACCCTATATCTTTTTTCAAGCGGTGACATACGGTGTAATAGTTTATGCCATGATCGGATTTGAGTGGACTGCAGAGAAATTCTTTTGGTACCTATTTTTCATGTACTTCACACTGTTGTACTTCACCTTCTATGGCATGATGACTGTGGGAGTGACACCAAACCACCATGTTGCTTCCATCGTGGCTGCTGCATTTTATGCAGTTTGGAATCTCTTCTCAGGATTTGTTGTCTCAAGACCTGTAAGTTCCCCCTGCCTTTAAATAACTAAAATACATTGAGAAGAAGGGACTTGCATGCATAGATGAATACATATGTGGTATGGTTTCAATGGATGTACATGCACAATAATAATAATAATAATAATAATAATAATAATAATAATAATAATAATAATAATAATAATAATAATAATAATAATAATAATGATAATGTTGATGTTTTCCATTTTGAACAGAACATCCCAGTGTGGTGGAGATGGTACTATTGGGCTTGCCCGGTGGCTTGGACCTTATATGGATTGGTTGGATCCCAGTTTGGAGATATAACGGTGGAAATGTTGAATGAAAGTGGGAAGACTGTGAAAGCTTTCATAGAGGACAGTTATGGTATCGAACATGACTTCATCGGAGTTGCTGCTGTTGTGGTCGCTGGCGTTGCGGTTCTCTTTGCAGTTATTTTTGCTGTTGCAATCAAGACCTTTAACTTCCAAAAGAGATAGCTGCATTAGACTCTTTCCCCAAGCTGAACGATTCTTTATATTTTCATCTTATCTTTATATTTTATGATACTTTATCTATCATTTATGCAGCAATTTTCAATTTTAAGGTTTTATATATATATATATATATATATATATATATATATATATATATATATATGCAAGCAGAAAAGTAAGATAATACTTGTTTTACGCCAACCTGTAATAATAACTTGAGTTCTCAATTTCTATTTCATTTCTTAAGAATTGATATTCTTTCACTTTATACTGAACTAGAAGTTGGGGTAATTTGATAAAAATCTTCGGTAAAATTTATCTTTGTTGTCTTATTGATCCCACCTCCCACCCCCACCTCTCTGCAATTAGATCGGCTATTTTGTATATCACATGTACAAAAATGAGAGCTTCTATTACATTTTTGGATGATTATTTCGTTCTAAAACACTAATAGTTTCAGTTATATAGCATAATAAATGAAATCCAAGTAAACAACTAAAAGCAGAATAATACATCACCAATCAATCAGCAACACTTCTGGTTCCATAATTAAGTAAATGTCGATTTTGAGGATTAGAAAGTAAAGAAAAAAGCGGTTAAGAGAAATTGTGTAATGTCTCTTTTGAAAGGAATGTAACTGAATTCACTTATGAATTTGCTATAACAGTTCTATTTTAAATCAATACCTGTAATGTAATATTATGATTCACATAACTTGACATAGTGCATGATCATTGGGATTTTCCTGACTAGGAGGAATTAGAGCAGAGGAGTACCACATAACTGACAATAAGGAGAGGAAGTGGAAGAATACGATTTCTTCTTGTTGCTATCAAGTAAACCAAAATATTCAGAGTTCTTATAAACTAAGGTAAACAAGTTTCAGGTACCAGAATGAGGTTCATGCTTACCAGTTTGGACATGATATTGTGCAAAATACATGTAGCAAACAGCATTTTCTACCTTTATATAAATATTTTGCAGCACTTTTGTGGCATAGGAACATAAACAGCGACACTTCTTCAAACTCTCCAAGATTATTTGAGACACATGCATAAAGGAGTACCTATTTGAAAGTTGTCCTACACTGAGAATATATGATCTGAGACACCAACATCTGCTTCATAGCTATAGTTAACCAAAATTATGAGGTATTTCTTAATAAACAAATCATGAGAAATTTAATATAAAATCATATTCTGTTTGAGGACATAAACGTTAAGAAATGATAGTGAGTTCATATGCAAGATAATAGGGATGAAACTGAGGAATGAGAACACATGCACTTAGAAATAGAGAATTTGAGATTTGGTTACGAATAGAAGAATTTTGTTAGGAAATTAATTGGGCTTGGATTTTTGTAACAACAGTTAGTCGTGGGCTCATCTTTGACCCAAACGAAAAACCTATCCAATCCAAACATAAAAAATCGAATTAAAAAATAATATATATATCGCCGTTGCCGGGGATCGAACCCGGGTCATCCGCGTGACAGGCGGATATACTCACCACTATACTACAACGACTGCTTGATTAACATTTTCAAAATAATAAATAAATAAAATTTGTAAAGAAAACAATTGATATTTTTTATAGTAGTTGATATATAATCTAATTTTAATACATAAAAAAATAATTTCAAGTTTAAAACTTTTAAAAATAAGTCATAAGTAGAGGAGGTTGTGTTGTTTTTTGGTCTCTAATCCTTTTTAGGTTTTAGCTCTGTCCTCTCCTCTTCCCGGGAATCCTGCCCACATTCATGCATTCATACTTTAATCATCTTCAATTACTCAAACCTTTGCTTCTTTCTCCTACATCAATCACAACCCAACATTATCGTTATCATTTTCATCTTCCAATTTCATTTTCTTATTTTTTTCCTTTAGGGTTTATAAAATCAATTTTTTTAGTTCAGGTTTACACTTTATTGGTATACAACAGTTTCATTGTTAGCTCTTTGTTATATATTTCTTCTGATATTTAATACGCAGGTCTATTATTGTAAGGTAGAGAGAGACAAACTACGTCACGTCCAGAATTGAGTAGTACGCTTAAACGCGGATTTCAGATTCGGCGTTTGGAAGTTCATATCTCCAAACCTAATCTTCAGTAAGTACGTAACGTAAGATCCATTGTTTCTTCACGAACATGTAACAATTGAAATAGCTAATTACAAATGGATTAGACGTGAAAATCAGAAAATATTGAAGCAGTAATTATGACTTTTGCTTCCAATTAGGAGCCAGCCCGTGCGCTACACTAATAATGGAAAGTGATATATGATATGCCTTTTTTGGAAATTTGAAATCAAATATAGACCCACAGAGGTTGAGTTTTCTTGATTATCAAAGGTATACCTCTCAATCACATTGATTAGATCAAGATAATAATAATAATACTTGATACTCATCATATAGATCAAAAAGGTATTCTGGTCTAGTCATTCATTATTGAAAAGACATTGACCTAAGGAAAAAACCAAAGTCATCCACTAATTTAATTAATATATATATAGTATATGTTCTTCATTTTGACAACGAGTGAGTGCAACGATAGTGTATCTATCTGATATATTCATGATCCTAGCCTTGGTTCGAATTCTCGTGTGGTGGGATGGGATCAGAGAAGATGTTGGTGTAACAGATCATTGATCCTCCTCTCATGCTGACTTTGGCTTCCCATCAACATGAATTAATTGAAAAGTTTGATGAGGAAGGAACATTGGTCTTATTCAATTGGTGTAAGTAAAACATCTCATCCAAAAAATCGCAAATCAAATCTAGCTTGAATGGCTATAGTTGATGTGACTGAGATTGATACGGATATATATATAAAAATCTGATTCTGATATTTGACAGAAACACTCGAACAAAATCCTGATTTGGGTTCATTGGAAAGAGCCGCATATATATATTATATAGTCCTGTGATACAATCTTTATCATTGGCATTGCATGATGCAGCTCAAAGTAGCAACAAAACCAGTCAGATCAACCATAATTGTGATTTCTTAAACATTTCGCCCATATTGAAACACAACAACAAAACTTCACCACGAGATGGTTTCCGTCTTCTCTCTTCGCAAACTCACCAATTATTTGTTTAAAGTTGGGAGTTAGCTGTCTTTCTCTTTGAGGCACTTCAATCATTCCCCATGATGGATATGGATAAAGATAAACTATAATTAAATCATGCACGTTGCGTCACAAACTCATAATCATACCACAGTTACAAACGCCACAAAACTTCAACCTCTTGGATCTTTTCATTACGTAGCCTATCACTGATCCAAATGAAACCACGCCGACACTTGAAGAAAAATATAAAAGATCATCATCACCATCATCTTCTTAAGCTCAACCATACGTGTGTCAATAATGCAGTATGGCCAAAATAGTTCAACACCTAACTCTTAGAAATTTAGAAATTCACCTTTTTGAGCTTCCTATTTAACACCTTCCAAAGGACATATCCGAGATACTCATAATTTAATATCAATGTATTTTCAAGCATTCCTTCATATCATGTTTGTCTTTATATCTTTTGTTTTGTAGTACTTTTGGTGTGTCGCGTTGTGTCTTAATTCAAATTTGAGGTTATGACAAACAGTATTTTTAATGAGCACCGGCACTTTACTACTTTCGTTAATTAATGCAGCAATACAACTCACACAAACTAGCAGAGTGGTGAAGGATAATCAACTGGAAATTAAGATAATAACATATATATAACAACAACAAAATCTTGTTTTATTCTATTAAACAAAATCGATTACGTACATGAATCACAAGACTCGTTCCACATCATTAAATAAGATAACAACACGCAAAATCTTGAGCAGACAAGAAGATTCTATAGGAATGTATAGCACTATATATCCTGGGGTGTCAATTAATCAATTGTGCACCGTTTCTTTCTTATCGACAAGAGAGTGGTGTGGTGGCAATCTAATCTGCATATTATCTGTCAGAGTATTCATTAATCATTTGATGGAGTACTCACATCTCTACTAACGTGAAATCAACATTCATCATCCGTGTGGAATGAGATTATGAGAACAATTCATTACGGTCGATAAGAAAGATAATAACCCATGAAAAGATCGTTGACAAGTTCAGAACTTGATAGTTTTACAGCAGTTTCAACTGTTCCTTCTTCGTCATAACAAAGTACAAATATCTGGAAACAGAATATCTTTCCTTCAATAATGACTCACCCAACGGTTCCTTCAATAATACCAGTTTAGTTGTAACTATTACTATTAGAAAACTAATGATTAAGAAGAATTAATACAAAAAAAATTGTAAATTATGGTAGGGTTATTATAACGTTAAGTTCTCACCATGAATTTGGAAAAAAATCTCTTATAATTTTTCAATTACTAGTATAAGAGAGTAGTTAATTAGCATAAACTAATATAATTAACAATAAATTTAAAGATATTTTGGGTGGACACAATTATGTATTTTTTATTTAAATTTGACTCTCTTTTTTAAGTTGATGATCGTACGTAGTGAATAAAAATACAATTATAATAATTAAAATTAACAATTAAGATTATGATAAAATATATGTATATGTATAAGAATTATGTAGTTGTGCTCATTCTGTGGAGAGACTAATCTATAAATGAAAACAAAATCAAAATTTGGAAAATGAAAAAAATGGGAATTGATAAGTAGATAAATTATCTTTGACACTTACATAAATGAATTATTAATCATGGGGAATGTTTATTACAAATTTTAAATTTAAGTTATATGTATATATACACGAGAATCAACCTGAATTGATTGAAATGAGAACACCAAATCATATAAATAAACATTTATATATTGAAGAAATTATATAGATTTACAAAAGAAAAAAAAATCATGTAATTATTTTAAAAATTTTAATTTTAATTTTAATTTAAATATAAACTATTTTTTCTTTTATAAACGTGTATAGAAAATTTTTATTATTGATAAATGTTTAGTTGATGTTCTATTAAAAAAAAATCTA